TGCCCTTGTGGATAGCAGATCCCTGTGGAATCCACTGTGCCATGAAGGCTGCTTTTCTGAGTTTCAGTGAGTGATGGGGACACCCCTGGGTGAGGGGGAAACCAACCCCCTCCAGCACCCTCAGTCATGAGGGCATGACATAGCTAGAAGGACGCAGCCTGGTCCCAGTGCAGATGTTCAGACCAGGGATCAGCAGACATGACTGCGCTCATCCTTAGTGCCTGAACCACAGTTCTCTCCTCTGTCAATTCCCAGGATCAAATAGCATGACCCTGCTGCTGGCCTCACACAGGAAGGGACAGAGACTATTTCAACCTTCACTCTGACCCTGACACCACGTGTCTTCAGAAGGAGGACTCCCTCCACAGGCCACGCCTACTGCTGGGGGGTGCCACGCCCTCACCTGCTCTCCTTGCCCTCCAGCAGCTTGGGGGAGCTGTCCTCCAGTTCCAGCCTGATGAACAGGACACCCGGGGACTGTTGCAGCTGCCGCTTCATGTCCGGCTTGGCTCTGAGCATGGAGACCTCGAGCTCCTTCTGCTTGGTGCTCCCGTCCTTGAGCACCGGCTCCGCGTTGTCCTCGGGGTCAGCCATGGCTTCCTCAGGCTTGGCACGCTGTGGGTGGGGTGAGGCTGAGCTGGGAGGTGGGGTTCACCAGTCACTGCTTCCCCAGGTTCCCTCCTGCAGAAAGCCCCTGGGCGGCCTGCTTCAAGGGGCTTCACTAGCACCAAACAAATCCACTAAGCACCGGGGCATCTCGGGGGTCAGCAGCATGGGGTTTCAGCCCAATGGATGGCAATTCTGGTCAGCCACCCGCTCCTCTCCCTGAGAGAGCAGCAGGGAGAATGTTTCCCTCCAAGGCATGGTGGGAGGGCTCAGTGAGATAACAGACCTGTGGAGTCCCTGCCACTGTGCAGGGCACACACGTGGTACTGGATCAATGCCATTCATTGTGATTGAAAGATGCCCCCACCCCACCCCACCCAGCCTGCTGCTGGAGGAGCTCCCAGGCCATGGGGTCCTAGCTGAGTCCCCAATGTCAGGCAGCTGACATACAGAACCCCCTGCCTTGAACATAGAAGCCAATTTGGAACAGGCCTGGGACAGATGGGGCTGGAGCACAGATGTGAACCTGGAAGCCCCTGGTTGGCTGGATTTGGGCACTTCCTCCAACTTCACAGTCTTAGCCCAAGGCAGTGGGCTACTAACAATGGGCCCGCTCTTATCTTCATTCTAGGGTCCCTTTAGCTGGAGGGTCAGCCTATCTCCCGAGAGCCTGTGCAGCCCAGGAGCCTCCTCTGGTTCTGTTCCCCGGGCTGCCATGACCACTGCCAAGTCCATTCCTTCTCTGTGCCCCCTTCCTTCTTGCCCTCATAGCAGGTGTCTGCCTCTCCTCACTCTTGACTCTCTTCCATCTACACTGCTTTTAACTCCGCCTCAGGCTCCCTCCTCCCCAGGTACCCCTTCTGCACCGAAACCTGAAGATATGCCAATGTTCTCAGCAACCACACCCTTAGTGCTCCCACCTCCCAGCTCCCGTGTCAGCACTGAACTTCCCACTGTGCCCCCAGGACACAGCTTGTGGTGTCTGCTCTTATATCTACTAGCTGTGTGGACTTAGA